AAGCTGTTTAAAAGTTAAAACAATAAAAAGTTATTTGTATCCACATTTATATGTTGAGTATGTAGGTACTAAATATAATATTCGAAAACGGATTCTCCGAAATTTTACTTTTTTAATTTTTAATATAAATATATTAGGTACCTACCTAAATCCACTATAGTAATTACCTACCAATTTTCTTTATGGCGTCTTTATGAATACTATACAATTTATTCCCATAATATGAAACAGCCAATAACGGCCGTGACACGTCGCTACTCGTAAAATACTATATTAACTGATATAATATAAATGTATTTAAATTACAATTTTGTTAAGATTGCCAAAAATCAGACCCTAAAAAACACCAGTGAATGAAACGTCCTCTTGAGAAATGGTATTTCATAATTTTCTTTGGAATGGAAAAAGTTTTACCGTTGCACAACTTTATACCTAGGCACCTATTTATAGAGTCACTGGCTAAATATGTACTTTCTGATTTGAAAACTGTTATTAAACTTTACAACATTTTAAATTTTAATAGTAAATTTGATTGATTTTACTTTAATACAAAATATGAAAACAGGTACAAAAGGCAAAAAAATAATCAATATTTTTTTTAAATTAAAAATGATTAAAAAGGAAGTTCACAAGATAATTTAACATAATATAATATTAATTACCTATATTAAGTTAATATTGATGTATGCCTACTTAAAATGTTCAATAAATATATTATCTATCGCTAAGGATAATTTATAATTAAAAAAATTATTACTTTTATCATACCTATCAAAATGTTATTTTTTGTATTAGAAAAACGTTCATCAATTTCAATAACAAATTTATGAAATATAAAGAGTATGAAAATTACGATTCTGAATAACACCAAGGTATTTTGATTAACAATGTTATCTTAATGTAGGTAAATGAGGCCCCCGCCCCCCGTCAACTTATAATATTTTAATATTTATATTATTATTAAATGTTTTGAAACGAAGTGGTGGATAGGTAATTATATAAGAAGGTCATCTCAATGCAGAATTCCCTACTCCTTCACACCAAATTATAATATTGGTCCTGTTATTTTTGTTGATTGAAAACGAAGGGGTACTGGGTAGCCAGGTATATCTACTTAATTATATCAGATGCAGGTAAAATTTTGATTTTATCAGTAGCATTATCGTTTATCCGTCGGTGAGCCATGAAGTTTCACAATAATAATAACAAAATATTTTGTTAACCACATGTCCGTGTGAATATATCAATGACATTAATAAAATAATAAAAAATAACTGCAAAATAATTTCAGAATATAATGTACCTATGTAACAAAAAATAGTACGCAGTCACGTTTATACACGGGAAAAGTGTTAAATGTTTTTTTTTTCATTTTTTATTCTTCTTTTAACCGCGTCTTAAGATCAAAAAAAAAATTATATATAATATATACATGTATATCAGTGGTTTGACATGGAATAATAAAACCGTATTGACTAAGTAAGTGTATTTCCACTCTAATGCATTTATATCGAAGAGCCATTATAGTATTTGACCCAATTCAAGTTTGGCCGGGTAACATCAATATCAATATTGTATTAATCGAAACGGTTGATTTAAAACGAGTAGGTACCTATCGGATATCATAGTTTAATATTTTTACTCCGTCGTGTTTTCTACCAAGATAGATCTATCTCATGTAATTTGTATCGACTATCTAAACATTCCGATAGAATTATTCTGAAAACATAATATTATATTAATTGAATTCGTCGAGAAATTGACATTGACATGACACGTACACACACACGCACTTGGAAAATAGCCAATAAAAAACGAACCTAACCTAACCTAATTTATTAATTAAAATCGGTCGATATTGAATCCTCTTAATATAAATTTATATTTTTATGGGGAAACCCAATCCCAATACTCACTTGAAACCGACTACAGTAGCAATACCTACCAGTGTTGGGACTATCTAGATAAAATTATCTAAAAGATAATCTAGATAACGTCAAAATTATCTTTAATCTTTTATATAGATAAATCCAGAGTATCTTTTACTTATACTTATCTTTTTGCGTTTTTTCTGTCGATAGATAATAGATGTTAAATCGAGCAAACTAGAGATTTTTTTTTTAATTTTAATTTTTTTTTTTTTTGTTAAAATAAGATTTTATTATTTTATTTAGCCCGTTTGTCATAATCGTACAAATATTAAGATATAGGTAGGTCTTAATAAATAATAGTTTAAATTAATCTATATCTGTTAATCATTTATTTAAATATTAACTTTTAAGAATAATAGGAATATTCCATCAAACCTTAAGTCATTAAATAAAAAAGTTATTTTAAAAAGATAGCCAAGAGTTAGACCCTAAATGTTATTTTAAATAATTATCTTTTATCTTTTATCTTTTTATTTCATCTAGATAATTAAAAGATTATCTTTTATCTTTATCTTAGATAAGCCTTTAGTCATTATCTTTATCTTTAATCTAGATAAAAATATTGGTTATCTTTCCCAACACTGATACCTACATCACAAGTCACAACACTACATGCCATAAAATGTAAGCCCCAAAAGCACATCTACCACATTACAAAGATATTTTTTAGAAGGCGTTTGGAAACCTCCCCTCTCAACTAGTTTTTATTTTTAAAGATTAAGTTTTCTTTTGCAAATTAAAATCCAATTCATATCTAAAAAGGTGCTCTGCTGTACAGTAGGTTACAAGTGGGTCACTGTATAATGGATGGTATTAATTTTAATTCAATGATATAAAATCATTGTATAAGAAAAACGATTCTGAGCGGTGACGGTATGTCAGTCTATGTATAAGACATATTATATACAAATCTATGGTATTAAACAAAAATTACCTATAATAGTTACCTATAATAAATTCCAAATTATTCATATCGCAATATCCATTAGGTACTTATGACTCATTATACATCAACAACAAACCCTGATACTATCATAGATACATGATAGTGTACTTAGAAGTTTCAAAGACCCACGAATAATATTATCCAATCACAACAAAATAACTAAAATAGTTATTCTAGGTTTTTTATTATGCAATTTCGTCCAAATTTGAACTTAAAATGACTATAAAAATAAACTGTCCTTCCGTATTTTTTAAATTTTTTGGTAACAGAATTAACTACTTAAGTGGAATCTTGTTTTAAATTTTCAATCCTTAGATATAAAAGTTGAACATTTTATACATGTTTAACTACAAAATAATTATTCAATTTTGAATTTGATAAATTTTGTCAAAATTCGATCTTTAAATAATTATAAAAAAAATTGTTCCTATGTATTTTTAATATTTTTCAACTGATATCGTAACAATACATCAGGATCCTTGTATTAAATTTTTACACCTTTTGGCCCAACAGATAAAACATAATTGATATTTGTAGAAAAAAAAACTAAAAAAATTGAAAACTGTAAATGTCCTTAAACAGCTCAAAAAGAGTCAAAATATTTTGAAAATGTTATCGTGTATAGAAAATGCAAATATAATCAACCAGTAAAAATTTCATGTATCTATGGTCATTTGTTTTAAAGTTACACCAAAAACCAAATTCAATTTTGTGAAAAATCAATCTTGAGTAAAAATTCCCATTTTTCTTCATTTTTCTTTTGTTTTTCTTGGCGCTTTTGAAAATTACTGGGAATTTTAAATTTTGAATTCTTCAATGCACCAACGATATTCACTTTCAATACAAGATACTTATCGTGTACACAGACACAAAAAAAAAACACACACATAATTGTAAAATCAATACATTCATTGTTTCACTCAGAATCTAAAAGGTGGTGGTTAAAGTTTACGCAGTTCTAGGAAATCTATGTTTTTTAATTGGCTAAAAAAAGTGTATTTGAATTTTTAGTACCTAATTTTTGTAAATTACTATAGAACATTTAAAAATAACAATGATTCTTGATGGTAATCAAAATATTTTTTACTATTGAAATATTTGTGGTTCTAATGTATCCTTAAGCTGTTCGAATATTTAACTCTCTGCCCTTTGACCAAAGTTATATTTTATGCCATACATAATTATTGTACTATTCATTTTGTTTAAGCTTTATTAATATATACACAGCCACATTGAGTTTATTTTGTTGTTTAATATCTAATATTGTTAATTTGTAATTGAACATTGAATATTGTAATTATTAATTAATTATTTTTACTATATATATACCTAATTGTTTTGTATCAACATCCTAACATCAGTAGGTATAGTTAATTATGAGCTATTACACATAATATTATAAAGTAGTTTGTGTACGCAAAGTTTAAATAAATTGTCGTATATACGCCGATCGCTTCCTAGTTCCGACGTACATTATTAAACCCACAAAATTATTAAAATATTACACTTAATTACTGGTTTATCCTATAGTGTCACAGAGGCCACATCAAGCGATCACTGCTGAAGTATCCACATTTGACTACTATCACTCATATATTATAGCTTTACCTATAGCTTATATTTTACTACTAAAATTTACTGACTAAGACTTAATACTAAATATTGTAACACATTACGTTAAGACTTAATACTTCATTATGTTACACATTACATTAAGACTTAATACTACATTTTGTAACATATTACATAGGTAGGGGAAGTTGGGTACAATTGTAACACGGGAAATAAGTTGTTCAATAATCAACAAAAAAATCTCAAAAAAATTAGCAGTTGGCCATTTTTTAGCCATCTATATAACAATCAATGTTACCTTATCAAAATTATGATAACTTTGAAAAAAAAATTAATTCTCGATTTTGTCTAGATTTTAGTCTTTTATATGGTGCTTTACTTATGTCATTGAATATCGAAAGGTTTGTCGAGTTATGGACTTGTTGAAGTAGTTTTATGGTTGCTGCATATCTACGGAATTCTGGTGGTGCTATATTTTAGAGGACTGGGAGCTATTGCACTTTTGTTGCCCGGTCACCGCCTGTAACGAGACAGAATGATCATACGATAATATGTCATTTTTGAAACAGTTCACGCCATCTACTGGGGAACACAAACGCTACGCAAAATCGATAAAGCTCATGAAGACGAATAGACCCGGCTTGCACCAACGCAACACAGATCTCGTGCAGGAGCACACGCTTTTGGTACGGACACAAGAGTTCAACTTTAAAGGCCCAGTCGATGTAAATCAAGATAACCAATACATAAATAAGCTGGGCCACTATGTCCCTAGAAGAACGCACATAGCCGCGCAGACGGTAAACACAATAGAACTTAGGAAAAACCGTAACGAACTGACACAAAGAAATCGTTATACAGAACAGCAGATGCAAGCATGAATGTGCAGAATATCCAGCCACCGACCGACCGATTCACCGATTCACAGTTCGAATAAAATCTTATACCTTGTTATTTTTCTGCTCACTAGTTGACTTAACTTCACTGCCAAGTGGATTCCACCGCGGAGTCTGTGCCTTTTGTGTCATACTGTATAAGTAGGTACACCCCTCTCCTTACTATTGGTGTGAGTAGTGATACGGGATCCACCGTATTGAACAAGCTACCTATACGTCGTACAACAGGGTATTGCTATCGCTGACGTTACTGTTAAGAGGACGCTACACATAAAGTAAAACGTATTCAACGACCGAGAGAACGCGCTGTTAGGTGTTTTCGCGATGCGCAAGCACGCGACGTTCAAGCCGCGCCCACACTCGTCGTCGGCGACCGGCCGACGATTGTGCTCTTTCGGAGCGACGTTTATTATTTTCTCAACCTTCGTCTCTGGCGGATAGCGTAAATATAAAATGTATACACGTTACACGTTACACGTACATTTCCGCTGTAATTTTTTTAATATTCGCGCGTACTTACGAGACCTGTATATATTCTATTTTTAAATACTTACTCTATACAAAATATATACAAATAATATCTAATTTATAACAGTAACCGAAATATCTAAATATTAGTTAAGTAATTAAATTTGGTATTGTCATTAGTATATACTACAGTAGGTTAAATTCATTATTCCAAAAAAAAATATAAAATAATATATATAATATAATATAAAATATGACAATATAGGTACGCTAAAAGTTAATTGCATACACCTGACACCATTATAATATACACCATACAAAATATATTTTTTACCATAACTTAAATCGTTCTACAAACTTTTTTACTTTTCTCATTAAAAATATTTTACGCCGAATATTTGATTTTGACGAATATTTAAACACAACCAAAGGAATATTTTTATAGTCTTACTTTTTATTTACTTACATACCTGTTATATATTTTATTTTATTATAAATTTATACATAATATAATCAACTGTAATTATTGTACCTATGGTTACACTCTACGGTGTTATACCTTGTTGTTGCACCGGAGTACCGGACCCTTCAATTACCATAGGTACCTACGTAAAAATATTTTTTTTTTTTATTAAAAGAATAATTACAATCTATACAAACATAATATGTTGTGTAACATATTATGTACAATAGGTAATTTTTTTGATGGACAATAGCGTTGAATTACGGAGAGGGAAGGTACTCAGTCCGTAAAAATATAAAAATGAACAATAATATATTTTGACTCTTTTTGAGCTATTTATAGGCATTAGAATATTTCGATTTTTATTAGTTTTTTAAAAAATTATTATTGATAAATAAATAAGGTTTCTCTAAAATTTTCATTACCTAGTGGAAATAAAATAAAATGTTGAGCGTATTAGGAAGGTAATTTAATGAAATATATTATAAATAACATTTTAAATAATACTAAATCATTTAAAAATTTCATAAATTATATTATAAAAAAATAACCAATGCCAATTTTTAATAACTTAATTTTTATTCAATTAGGTACCTACCTATTTATTATAAATATATATAAATATTTTATATTATATTATATTTAGTATACGAGTGTACCTTTGGTATAGGTACCTACACTGGACATGACTATATAAACATTTTACAAAATAGTAAACATAACTTATTTATTTTTCGTTTTTTTTATTCAGCTCATCTTGAATTCTCTTAGGTTCAGATATATCTGATTTTAACAACCTTTTTCCAAATTTGGGATCAATAATTTCCGGAAGAAGACAATCTAAATAAAACCTGAGAAAATAATTTTATAAGCAGTTTAAACATATGTAATTGTTTAATTGTTACTTAACTCATATAAAATTATTATTATGATATATAAAGGTACTTACAATTTTAGCTGGTTTTCCATTTTATTATTCCAAAAAAATTCATCATATTCGATATTTAATATATGAGTCCATGATTCAGAGTGAATGACAAAATAACATAAATTTGTATTTGTTATTCTTAGCTGACCTTGTACTTGGAAATAGTATAAGCTTTGAGTTTTTAATTTAATGTCATTATTTTCTAAATACAAGTATTGGATCTAAAATATTTTTATAATAAAAAAATAAGAGCTGTTAATATATTTTATAGTATTTCGAAGTACTTAAATAGTTAAATATGTATTATGATTTCTGATTTAAGCATAGGTATACCTTTTTATCTACAATAGCGTCTCGAATGTGTAAATAGTCTTTTACAGAATATGGACACTTTATTTCGATTATAGCATTTTCACCAATTATTAAGCCATCTGAAAAAAGGACATTAAAATTGTATAAATAGATAACTGTGTTAATTGTTTTAATTATATTTACCAGGACTAGCAGCCAAGTATGGAATATCTTTATCGATAAATAAACCACAACTTTTAACTTTTAATTTTGTCATTGTTTCAAATGTTTGTCTTGCTTCATCTTCCTTTATTTTTCCATATTCCATTGCTTTTGAAGTTACGTTTCCATATAAAATGTCATAAACTGTATTTTTACAAGATGTATTGGCACGCATTTTACAAACCCTTCCAAAATTGGATGCGGTAAGTCGAACTCTTCTTTCACTAAACCATTGCTGACAATTTCTTTGATTTCGTGTATGTTGTTCTATGACACAACGTTTTTCGTGACTTAATTGTAACGATGCAAGAAACCTTTGCTTTTGGTTTACAAACTGTTCGACATCCATTACATCATCTTCTGCTAAGGGTTCAGCAAGCCCATAAAATTCGTCCGGGCCAGTGTTTTTAATATTTTTATTTTTTTTAACCGGAAATAGTTGTCGTCGTTTTCGCGTTTCCGTTAGTTTTCGGAGTTTTGTGGACAAAAATTGTTTTCCGATTTTACCTAAAAAATTGTTATAATATTATTATAGCTTAAACTAATTATTAATTTAAAATAAATGTAAAAAAAAATGATCGTATAATATGTGTGCCTACCTGGACTATTGTTAGTTATGTTTTTGTGCATATGTCTAAGAAACATTCCACCAGAGTTAAACGATACAATTGCAGCTTTTACACGAGTATTATACGAATTCCTCTGTGAAAAGTTAATTCGCTTTCCCGCAATAAATTTATTAATGACACTGTTGAATTGTTCACAAATATTGTTCGTTACATCGTGTAATAGACTTGTAGCATTATCAATAAGTCGTTGTGCCACCAATTTAAATTCTGACATTAATCCACAGTTAAATGCGGCTGGCACTAAGTTTTCACTAATCTTTTGTTTATTATTACAAAAGTATTCATCACATTTATTATGTTGACCTAATATATGGTAAAAACTATTGCTAATATCCAATATAAGACCTAAAATTTAATAATAACATAGCATTTAAGAAGTATTTTTTATAAATTGATAAGTTAGGTACCTGATATTTTTTCATGCTGTGGTGCCTTCATTTCTTTTCGATACTCAATTGCTTTTCGAATTGCAATAGGGAATTTTTTGATATTGGTTTTAATAAAGTTTCTCAACAAAACAGGATACTTTGTATTTATAGAAATTGCTGAAATTTTGGTTCCAAAATTACGTAGTAGGTGATTACTACACTCTATTTTCTCTACTAATCTTGTAGGACCATAAGGTATAACTTCTCTTAGACGTTTTGTAACGCTGCTATCTCCATCGCCTATATTTTATAATATATATATATATATATGTATATATATTTATACTTAATACTATACTTAATACTATACTTAGTATAACTACAATGTACATGATTTTAAATTAAAAAAAACTAAAATATATATTTTTTCTTAAAACATTTTTTTACCAATTAATCGATTGAATTTGAGACCGTGTAACTCTATGCTTTTTAAAAAACCCTCTGCAATGCCATCTGCTTCCATACAAGTAGAAGACTTTGTCCAGTTCATAAAACATTCGTGTTCTTTTGGTTTTTGATTTAAAGTCTTACTTCGCTCACACACTGCACAATACCTATTTCTTATACCAACAAAAAGAACTTTAGAAGTATGGAATCCAATAATTGTTGCCTGAAATAATAAATATGCACATATTAGAACCTTTTTTTTATAGGTATCTCTTTGTTATAATATACCTAACGCGTCATTTTGAAATGTCTATATTTAGTAGTCACTGTAATGGATGGTATTAAATTTGAATTCAATGATATAATTTCATTGTATAAGAAAATTTTTATAAATTTCTAATGTATTTTGTCAAAATTTAAACTTTAATTACTTTTAAAAAAAAATTGTGACTACGGATTTTTAATATTTTTCATTTGCCTTTGAAACAATATAAAAGGTGATGACAGACACAAAAAAAAAACCACACATCATTGTAAAAACAAAACATTCATCGCTACGCTCAGAATCTTAAATTGAAATGACGCCCCTGGCATATAAACATTATTGAAGTCCAAAAAATAAAAATTACCGCTCCCGATAATGAATCATATTTTGTTTTATAGCTCCTTTTCCCCCACTGTCCATCTGCCACTACAGGACACATTGGAATACCATCGGTATCAACATCGTTTCGTTCTAAAGCTAATTTTTTTTCTTCCAAACCAGCCAGTCTCATTTGTTCCCAAGCACTTTCGTTGACAACTTCAGCAATTTTATTACAATTATTTATAAACGATGCGTTAGTCATACATGGAACATCAATAGAAGCCGAAAACTCATTGACTTGGCTATAGCCAATTCCAACTGCAATAGATGCATTTGCCACTGCTTTATTAATTGGTATTTTGTTTTTGTCGTCGATATCTGATTGAATTATTGTTTCTATGTTACACATTTTACATTTAAAAAACCATGAGCAATGAAATCCTTTACGTGTTTCTTTAATCAATTCAGAGTTAATAAAAGAACAATCAAATCCTTTTATATGATTTTTGTTGTTACTGGCCAATATTTGATCAAATACAAACTTTATATCCACGATTCGACGACCAAACAGAACACTATAAAA